ATTTACTTCTACTTTATTATGAAAGCTAATGAAAACAACAACACCTTACGATCAAGACATACAACTCTAAAGAGGCTAATGAGAAAAGAAATAGAATGAAGCAATTTTTTGATAATGCATTAATTGCTAATATCAATTGACTATAGGTGAGAAACTGCAAATATAATAGGGTTGTATCACCATAGAAATCTGGAGAAAATCAAGAAATGAAAGTATTGACTCCATAAATCATCCTCCAAATCAGTACTATAACTATCAGTGTCAATAAAGCAAACGATAGAAAAACGTTATATAGTAATCATCATTAGAGCTGCAACGTTATGATAACTACAAAGAAAACGAACGAAATCACTACATGAAGTATATTAAGCTTTTAAAGTAAAGAAAAATTTTCTTCTATTTATCTATTATATACGTATATTACGTCCAGTCACTTATTCTTAGGGTATTGTAGACAGGATCAGAATATTACGAAAACTAAATGGCTGTTGGTTCATAGCTAGTACTTTAATAATGCTATATAATATTTATTCCTACCATAGATTAACTGATGTCAGGAATGAATAGAAAAATTATATCCAGATAATTGCAAAGGATTGAATAAAAAGTAAAAATAAATCAAGCATTCAACGCTGCTGAACAATTCGGTTAATATAGGAATAGATCATTGTTAATGGATGTATGTAATAAATGATTTAGTTGTAATGATCGATTTGACAGAAGGTCTTGTCATACAAGCCTAAATATGATAGATGCAAGACGAGTGATGATGTAATGATGAATCACAACATCTAGTTATGTACATAAAAAGCGGATATTTTATCATCAAGAAAGTCATTGAAATCAACTGATTTGTAATAAGTAGACTATACAAGTAATTTAACCATATTTACAGTTAACAGTATAATAGTCATATTAATAGGGAATAAAATAATTGGATGATGGTATCATTTAGGAATTTGTGATATAGAAATAAAAAGCGTTACTGTAATAGGTAAGCCTAGAGGGTGACTTAATATTAACTTTACTTATTGAGTGGTCATATCTATATTCAACACCTTACATCTAAACAGTATCAAATCATTACCTAATGTTGGTTGAAAGGCTTAGATATAATATAACTGCAAATTGCCAAATTCCTGATGTGGGCAGATTTGTGCAGAGGTGAAGGCAATTGTTTTTCATGGAATAAGTTCATCAAAGTAGTAAAGCTCTTCAATAGCAGAAATCTAGCTAGCTATCAGCATTTTTTACTTAATAATATTTAATTAATTGTTGAGTGTTTAGCTCATTCTACTTTGTACCTTCATTAAGGATTAAAGATATGTTTGAAATAAAAAAGTCTCATAAAAATATTTACCATCTGGATAAAAAATTGATAATATTGAAAATAATTCCGTCCAGTATTGAGACTATCATTGTGTAAATATCATTAATCCCGTAATCCTATAAGCATGAATTACATGTATCGTAGATTTAAATTTAACTTGTATTACTGTTATGCCGTTCACGAAATGCAATTATCCATTTCTATGTACCGTAGTGATAGTCCAGATGATGTCTATAATGCTATTGACATCTTGTCACTAATTCTGGTAAAAAGGGACTACGTTATTATTTAGTTGGTCATTAGTAGACCAAAATACTGCAGATTAATAGCTTCTACCTTAATTTTACAAATGCAGCCCAACAATTATACGAGTAAATTGTAAATGCATTATCGTATTTTGATTTCATATTTACCATCTTGCGTAACAAATAACAATAATATCTATGAAAGGCTTATAGCAACTACAATAGTATTATGCGATTTTATTTAGCTCACATAGATATTGTAATTACCTTTAATTAATTCCTATAAAATACAGTATTAATTTGCCATTGTTAATACCCATAAACGAAGCTTAAACGAACTAAACTGAACACTCAAATCGGTAGCATCTAAATTATCATTTACAATAGATAATGTTAATAATGACATAGGAAAAGCAATTAGATGAAGTGTTATCTTCGCTGTATTACTATCTGTGAAAATAGAAAGCTGATTTATTGTTAGAGATTGAAATATATTGTTAAAAATTTTAAATTAAAAACTCATCTCCTACGGCTTCTAGACGATATCAAATTTAATCCATTTAATAAATACAAACTAATCTTGATTTATAGTTCAAATTTATTATTTTTGCAAATAAGTTGGAAGCTGCTTGTTTTGATTAATAGATTATTTTCGGTAAGCAGAGTTAATAATTATGATGAAAATATTAAATCGTATTAATATGACTTGATTATAAGAATTTTTTTTCACTTTTGATTAATATTTTTAGACATTCAGTTATTAGGAGGACGTTATTAGTACCTGAATATAAAAGCTATAGAAGGGAAAAATTTAATTTCCTAGATGATTTCAACTATAATAAAATTATAGACAGGAATTACCTTATTCCAGTAATTAATTAAAAGCATAATAGGAATTTGAATAGAAGCTGAAATTCTACGGTATTGTTGCCGATTAACTTATTAGTAAACTACGATAAATACTGCCATTGGCAACAATGTTCCAAAATGTTTAAAAATATCATATACTTACTCATATTTTTGAATGTAAGCGTATAGAAAAGAAGTATTTAGTTTAGGATATGTTTCCAAAAAAATGTAGCAACACAGAAAAAAATAATGTTTGAACAATATTTATCGGCAGATGTTACCAAACTGCAACTACCTTAAACAATTTCGGTAAACAGTACGTACACGTTGAAGTATTTCTATTCCAATTTAATCTTTGGAATTTATCATCAACAACTCAGGAATCTCGTTATAAATTTGCAAATAGTTTTCTTGGATGGTTATGAAATATAGCAGTAAACAGTGCCGATATACCTCATACTGAAGCACTAGTACTGAATAAGTATAGATTGAAATATTAGCTGCAAGTCACTATCGCAGCTGCAATCTATTAAGCCATATAAATATTTACTTGTATAACCTGATGGTAGCAATCATTCATTAGAATTCGATTTATGCATTCCCATGAGCAGGATGAATCAACGAGCCAAGAAGCAGGCATAGTGATGAAAGTTAGTCGGTACCTATAGGATTTATAGCACGTAATTTAAGCATACGCGTATATATCGTTGGCATATCCTAGCCAATACAAGGTTTCGTATTCAAGCTAGGTTGGTACAAGATTTATCATGATTAATCCGCATACGTATGTTTATCAAAGGAATATCCTTGCCAATAGTAATATTTTACAATCAAGTTTGATAATTAAAATTGTCATTATTATTTTCCAAGTTTAACTACGAACAATTTGGTTTAATGCTCATCGAGATTAATTTGAGATTGTTCTGTAAAGATAGTAACACAGTTCAATTTTCCGAGCAACTTCAGTATGCATAGTACGATAGGATAGATCAGCTATCGAACTTGACTGATATGCAACCGATGATCGCATATCTCGTAAGATCATTCCGTTGTTTTGGTACAAGACATTGGTTAAAACAGTAGATTTAGCTGTCAAACCTACTTGATCTTGCGTTTCTAACGTTTTATGTATGCCATGACCCTGTTAGAACATCATCGTCAATAGTGAGATGGGTATTACTTCTGAGCAAAGATGGGAGGTCTCCACTAGCACATACTGTACTGTATAATATAAATAATTATTTGTTGTTGATATAGATCATTTATAAATAAATAGCAGTGAAGCCCCGTAGACATCACAGTAAGAAGTGATGAGAACGGCCGATTAAAAAAATCCAATCACAGCTAGAATTCAAATTTATGACTCTAGTGTTTAAAGCCCATAATTACTTTATTGCTTTGTATGAAAGATTCCGGCACTAATTTTGGTTTCAAATCTGAAAAGGAAAATCCCAGACAAGTGATATAAATCCTGCTGTACATCGGCCACTACATCATACCTACTTCAGTTGAGGATATCAATAGCTTGATGGTAAACCGAATGCAAAATAAGCATATCATTGCGCACTATACTATTACACGAATAGACTGATCTATTGATGACCAGCTTCGATCAAACCTACAGTATATAAGATATCGATGCGATAGTAATCCAAGTATGATGATATTGAATTGAATTATTTAGCAAATTGTGCAATGGTATAGCCAACCTACGAGTATTTCGATAGGATCAAAAAAATCCTACCAGAATCGTTCATTTCTAAAGTGTAAACGTGATTGTAGTGTAGTATGCTAGCTAAAGTCTGTAAATAAGCAATAGCAAACATGCTCGCTATTCCTACCCAGTCAGATTGCTCAACCATAGCTAGAACTAACTCTCCTATAATCAGTTGGTGGTATCGCTTATTTCTCTCCGTTGTTGCACTTGATTAGTTCCTGTTGGCTCTGTCAATCTCGTTATTTACTCCCAATTGTAAATCAATCTTGTTGTCTCTCTCGATGACAATCAAATATTGTCTACAAAATTCGATCATCCCCATCCATAGACGGAATAATATAACATAGTTTACGGTAAAAAAAAACTATCACATACAAACTATTATACAGCGCCCATTTCGGGCATAGGCGGGGAGTCTATCCCATATAAGTGCAACCAGCTGCATCGTCACCTAGGGGTGTGTCGTATCGCGAATCGACGTGATTCCGTTACCCCTATGGTATGCCCCAACACATCTCCAGTTATTATTATAATTAAGCGGAGAATGCTATAAATTTGCCTTTTCCTGGGTACAGGCTAATCTTGGCGATACTTTTTCCCATTGGATACGTGTAGAAGAAAGCTGTAGAGGAATTCAATCAATTGCCAATAAATATCTAATTGGCTCGTCGATTATTGATAAGTAGAACTGGAACCTATTGTAGACGTTGCTAGGTCCATGCTATAGGATTGTGATCGGCAGTGGGTTGAGATTTTTTTGTTGAAGCTTGGATTTTACTGTTGCTGTTGTGTAAAAGTGTACAAGTCGTCTAGCTGAGAGTTGATATCCTGCCATTAGGAAGGATTGTGATTTTCCATGATGCAAGTTCAAGTTGAATTAAAGTCCATAACGAATCTTGGATATGCTGTCAATCGATGTGGTACTCTGCGAGTGGATAATGTGTTAGCTTTTATCGATAGTCAAATTGAACAACATTTTGATCGATTTAATTGCCATAATGAAAGTAACGTCGATGATAGCGAGTTGTACAATCAACGATGGATTCTTTCAAGTACTGACATAACATTATCGCCATCATTTAATCGCTGCCAGTTTGGTAGTTCGTATGATGTATTGATTAAATTGGAAAGTGAAAAAATCGCATCAAGATACTTCACCTGTAGAATATGGCCGTCGAATAAACGCAAACAAGATGAGCAAATATGCTTCATCAAGATGATTAAGGTACCCATGTCGCCGGTTGAAAAATTTTTATTAACAAACGAGGTAGGTGGATGCTATTTTATGTCATTTACCTTTAATGCAACGCATTCACGTAGGTTAGCTTGGTGAAAAAAATTGTAAAGTGGATACTCATAGCTACTTTACTAAACCGTACCAACGTAATCCTATCACACAGTCTATCTGAAAAGTGATATTGATGCATCTATCATAATTTACCTGGATAGAATATGATTTTGCGTGGAGTAGGAGTAGTATTACTAAAAGTAGAGTTTTATGTTATGGGAGGATCTACCATCTTTTGCATGCAGTTCTACGATCTCAAACTGTCCACCTGTTAAACACTGACTCTTGGCTTTGTCATACTGTAGTAGGTGGAATTCTAGCGTCCTGTTGATGTTTGTAATAAAAATCATCTCTTTTTGCTCCTATAGACTGTCCATGGTCAGGAATACCGGCACATACATAATAAACAGCACAATTATTCTTACTCAATTACGATTCGCCCCAGTGATCTGGACGCTAATCAGTCAATAAGATTGAACAACTTACTGATTTTCTGCCAACACGCTGCTTGTCATGCCATGAATGATAAAAAACTGAAAGATATTAATGATCTGTATGATCTCCTTCGGATAGAACACGTACAACTTCATCTTATGAATGTTGCTTCTTATGGAGATATCAAGGTATATATCTGGCAGACTAGAGATAGAGAAGATAATAATACCCTCAATTTTTTACTGACTCAATCGTCGAACCACATATGTCGAGCATCCATCAAATTAAACTCAAAAGTGAATGCCGCTATTGTACCCTTTGGTTCTGTCCCGATAATATATTATGAAGATAACTGTCGCGTTGTACCAACCTCTCACTGTTCTTTATACAGGGATCGATTTGGCAATCCGCATTTAAATGCATTCATGAGAATGATTGGAGACATTAATACTTCCATGCTTCATTATGAAGATTTAGCATCGTTGACACAAGTATCAAAAGGTGCCAGGTATCTCACCGTTAGACAGAACCTTCATGTCCACAAACACTTTTTCGCTATACCTCCGAACGCAGTCTTACAACATGAAGTGAAAGTGGCAGCCTTCGGTAATACGTCTTTTACGTTCAATCAGAACGTATATCATCGGTCTCACTGTTTGCTCAATGTCTTTACCAAAATTGTCTGTATGTTTGATGGCAAGCTTAAAGTATTACCTCCTTGGCATAAAAAGAGATATAGAAATTTATTTAATAAAGTAGATCTACGCAAGGTAAGAAAATTTTCCAGGTAGTCGTCTCATGCATTTGTTATTTTGATTGACTAAAAGTAATATGACCAAAGCATTTATTGCCAATATAGTATTAATATACCGTAGGTATAACAACTTAACGCTACTCTACTGTATTTAATGTAATTTAATTTATTAAGGTAAATTAGTAGTAACGAATCGTTATGTAGCCGACTATTCTTGCAATCTATTTCATGATCAATTTTTCTTTTATAGATGAATATTCCAGCAGAAATCCCCAGTAAAGCTTGCAAGTATCGATTTGAATCAAGATTTGATGATATTGATGAGAATTTTCATACAAATCAGACGGTATACCTTTGCAATTCCCTTAACGCTGCAAGCCATGTAGTTAGAAATCAACTAAAAGCATATCATACCGATTTTGGTCATGACTTTAATCCGTCATGCTTAACTGATTTGCAATCAAATTATTACGCTGAATCGTTGGAGCATCAAATATTGGACGTTTTCACATGGCAGGACAGTGAAGATAATACTTTACAATTTCTAATAAAACATCACCAACAAGATGTATTTTATATGACAGCGACGATTCGGGATGACTGGATGAGTTTTCAACCAAAATTATAATCTTTAGTGTCTATTTATGGTGTCTATCTAAATTTATAATTTACCGTCGACTACAATTGATGATTTTAGATGCATTTCCAGTTAAAATGATGACATTCTATTATATCTGCAATACAATATTAGTAATGTTATCATTGTTGGTGAAATTGTGCGAATATGTTGTAAAATTAAGTTGTATAATTGATAAGAGGTCATTTTGGTATAGCATTCAAACATTTAATCCTATAAATACGATATTTAAGCAGTAAAATATTGATATCCTTATCATATTATTTAGCCAAAGAAATATAACTTATGGGTTACGGATTTACGAACTCAAGTTCAACAGGCAGTTGTGAACTATTCTACTTGGTTAGAGCTGTCATAAAGCATAGACTAGAAGTCCATGTTATAAAGTAATACTGATGTGCTAATTCAGTCGCTAGATATTTTATATACCGCACGCATTGTATGTTTTATAGCATAACAGGATTTTAACCATATTAGTGGCATGCGTTTTATACAAATACTTGCCAATAATTAGAATACGCGTATTAATGATATTATTGATAAAATTTGTAATATGTCATTTGCAATTATAAAATGCAATACTCTAACGCCAAGCCTTTCGCCTGCGACCTTATGTTGAATGTGTTGGTTTGCATTTATTCCCCTCTAGTACGTATCATAAAAAAATATAATAATGTAGAAGCTAGAACCCACTATACAAGCCTTGGTGTAACCATCTACCAAACACTTGTAGTATTTCAAAATTTATGGTCAAAATCCATCAATTCCCCTAATTGCTACCGCTTGCTGGTATAGATTGTATGGCATACGTATGCTATGTAATTGCAATTTATAAGGGCTATTTTGCACAACAAGTCACTTCAATACCTCATTCCATAGAGGTAAGAACAACCTCCATGACTAATAATATTAATTAACTAAGCTTGCATAAAATTGATAATTACTGTAATTTATAGGAACATTTGTTGCAACAGTAACAACAAGAAAACAATCAGATTTAGTTGTCGACCTTTTAAGATTACCAAAATTTAGTCTACAGGAATCGACAGTATCAAGTCGCAGCTGGATACTGACTGACAGCAGAAAGATCAATGCAATCCCAGTACTCTTTATGCCATACTGAAATAATTTCAATAAACAAGGAGAACTTTCTGAAAACACAGTGCAAAGTTCAAATAGATGTCATACAATATGTAAGGAATTTCTAGACTGCATAGCCAAATAAGTCAACATTTTGCTCATTTTTAACACATCGATGACTTTCAAGATTGCTGTGTGATAATATCGTGAATGACAGTAGATATTTGATCAACGGCCTACCGTAATGTAATGACATGAAAGAATGAGAACTCGTGAAGACATATCAATAATACATCCTGCTGTCTTGATATTGTAACCTGAGCAGACCTAGATAGTTGGGTCTAGTGTACAGTGCATAGGCCCTTTTGGCAATATAAATAAATAAAATATTGTACTCTATTCTTTTTATTGCAATACAATAATATACAGTACACGGATTAAAATATTGGGATAGTATCTCAGAGTGGTAGACAACAACCAATTACTTTCTGCAAAATAGCGAAAATTATGATTTAATAACAATCAATCATGACTTTAGTTCTTGTTATCAGATAGATTTCATAGAAGCATACATCAATAAAGCGTTAACATTAATCATGGGCTATTGGACTAGTAAAATACGTACAAAAATTGGGGGGGGGGCAATGTCAGATAGTACAGTAACCAAGATCACAGCCATTTGCATCAAGAGAGTTGAGAGGTCAAAGTATTTTTCTTTAATCGCTGTAGATGCGTAGTGTTTTGCACTATTGCACTCTAAATTTTCTTTTAAACGTGCCTGAGCTTACTGTAGTGCTGCATCATAGGCAGTTTATATCAGGACGTTTATTGAATTTTATGTTAAGTTTACGGATAATCGGGAATTTTTTCGAATTCCTTCATTGATTACAGCATCGCCATGAACGGAGCTTGATATCTATAGTAAAAAAATATTGCTACTCAAACAGTAATGCGCGTTAGTCTATTCCTACATTGCACACCATGGTAGTATTATACTCAACCTTAGTATCTTCTCAGTTCACCAACCAACATAAATCAAACTTACATCATTCGAATCGTATTCTAACGCTGTACAGCCTGATGAATAGAAAGAAAAGCGTACAGTATCTCATTTGTTAGAATTAAAGATGAATAATTATTTTCAAATTTACCTTTTTCTTTTACTTCTATAGTCTTCACAACAGACTTTTTACTGTAGTTCTATAGCTTGCATCCGTCCGTACGTCCAGTGCAATATCCGGTCAGTCTCTTTCGTCCTAGTAGCCCCTGATCCAGTACCAATATAGATACAGTACTAAATCTTGCTAATACAGTACAGTATTAATTTTCATACGGTAACAGTGAATCAGTCTGACTACAGTACAAGACAGTAGGACAAGGCTCGTCCACCAGGTATAAAACAGGCGCGAGATTTGAAATTGTTCAGATTGGCTCCATTTAGAAGTAGTAGATTGAAAATCTTTGATAGAGTTTGAATAATCTTGAAACGCCTTATCATCTTGTGGTTTTCTACGGCAAATAACAACAAAAATCTTGACATTAGGAATAGAATGGAGGTATGATCTTCATAAGCTATTGATAGTAATATTGAGTACCAAGGTAAAAGCTAAATAGGCATGCAGCACGCTTGCCCTGCTGCCAGCACATGCTTCGGTGCTCTTCCATTCGCTTTAAAATTTTCCATGTTCTTAAACTATCAATAGGTTCATAATAGAAGAAAGAGAGATGTCTTACAACCTTTGCCATTACTCAACTGTGATAATTATCAAATATCACGTAAAAGGAAAGCAAGCCACCCTCCTAAAAAGAACAAAATTTCTGGTGGTGCTCGTCGAGCAAAACATGATAAACAGGTAGGTAGAAATCTTGCCTAATAACAACGACCAAAGTATCCAATTGTTACTTATTCCAGTACGATCTGTGGTAGTTTATCAACAGGACGAAAATAGGATAAAAAGTCGATAAAAACTGTAGGAGTTGAATATTACTGTCGATCTGTTGACTACAAGTGATCGTGAAAATAGTCAAGAAAATTCTATAGTATGTACAGTAGGATACAAATGGTAGACACTTGTGATGATATTTGTCTGCCACCCTCGCAGGCGTGATTTATCGCGAACAGAAAATTATAATTGGTACTGTATCATTAAAGAAGGAACATGTATTGTAGAAACTATCACCTCAAACACTTACTCATCGTAACTTTTTGTTGATTCGTCAACTATGGCGAAGAGTGTCTGCTGTAGCTATCTAGCAAACAGTTGCCCGATACAAACAAATTGTAACGTTATTCCAAGCCTGTTTCCTGAATTCGCTAAATTTTAATTATCAACATGCTGTATCTCAAAAGAAATGAAATTTTGCGCCTAAATTACTTTTGAAGGAATAAACCTCCATCGTACAAACTTCTACCTACGCTTTATACTCCAAAAGTCTGTTGCAGTGTGTATTATAGTATAACGTTTGCCGATACTGTAGAATTTACTCATCAGGATTTATAGTTTGCATTGCGACCCCTGCTCCATCGTCTACTGCATATTTTTACAAGATATCGTATAAATTATAGTAGAAATAGTCGTAGTTTACTAATCCACTGCGCTAGCTAGGAAAGTACTGATCTGGTATTTCCTGTGCAGCTTTGAAATGATGCATTTTATCTCCTTCACTAGATGACAGTACCAGCTACTATCGAGAACGTTGAGAACATGCTATGCTCTGGTTGGTTCAATATCGTTATTCATTAATAAGACAAATTAAAGGATTGGTATACTGTAGGATGCGCTGTATGGCGCTAAGTTTTTCTTTAACCTCTATTAATCTACATACAAGTGTGTATATTTCCTTATTTATTAAATAATGAATTAGATAAAGTACCGGACTCATACTGGCAGACTGTTGCTCAGGAAACGAAGACAGCCCTATCCAAAACCTTAGAGGAAAATGAAGAGGTAAAAATTTTCTTTGTAGATATTCTATATAATACATATAAGCATACTATACGTATAAACGAGAAAGCTGTAATCGTAGTAGACTTTCTGACTTTGCAGTCTACCTTACTAAAATATTCAGAATTTTATTATTGTACTGCGTTAATCTATTGAGCCTTCATGGCAAAAAAATTCTTATTCCCTTTTAATCTTAATCTAGCTCCATAAGCTGACTGACCAGCTGAAGGAAGAAAATGTTTCCCTAAAGAGTTTAGTAGAATACTATTCTTTAATGTATCATACCTGTATAGCTACGACCTATCAAACTGCACCATAAATGATAATGTACGATTTGGGTCGGTACCACATATTTAATTATATCATATGTTACTGTAAACTGAGCTTATCATATATTTGTTTCTTCGAAATGAAACGGTACACTGAGCTATTGTTAAAATGAGTAATAATCAATAATAGTCAGTATATCAAGTAGTCTTAAAATTTCCTAATGGAAAAAATATACTGTATATACGTGCTTGGAAAATGTAATGAATAGTAAAATAATTAATTTACAGATGATAATCATAATTTAAAACCACTTGTAAATTCATTAGATGTATAAGGATGGCTACAGTATATACACTTTGTGAATCAATTTTGTATATCATGAATTTACAAATGAAATTTAATTTCGTGGACCCTTTTTCGATTCTCCTATATGAAGCGCTATATTTACACGTAAATATAGAAAGATGATAATAGGCTTGAACTTTGCTGATGCTAAAGAATTAGTTCTTGTTTTAGATTTTACTGCAGTACAATCAAATACGCAACAAAATAACATTGTGCTGTAGTATGATATGAAGAGAATCTCAACTGGCTGATGTTGCTTAGCGTCCAATATATTCATATATGAATATGTATATTGATAAATAGGACAAAAGCTAAAAGTTGTTTTACGAACTAGAGAGTTGTAAATGATAGCAGAAAGCCCGTGCAGAACTGCATGCAAGTTAAAATATTCGACAGGGTGTAACATTGGTCACGGTGTAGTAAAGACATTATTCGTTAATTAATAACTGTTTACCTCGGTCTTGTTTGCACTGTGATTTCATTTCATTTGTATTACCTGTAACAACTATGTTTTATGATATTGCAAACCACTATGATATCAGCACTGAGCCAATTCTATTCTACTGGTATCATTTATGATGCAATGATTACCTCGATTAAATAGCAATCACTGTAATATTTCGTATATCGCTAAATTTAGCACCACCTCAAGGGTGTCCTCTTATGCATCATTTAAGCAATTGCTAAGTTGGTGATGTTAAGAATTTTCAATAAAGGTTTCTACGCCATAAATAAAGCAAAATTAAACAGGGATTCTTTAAAGGTCAAGTGTTGACTGCCGTAATTCGAACGTGATGTCCGATTTTGACAATAATGCAAGCACTATACAACTAATGTCAACAATATATGCGGACAGGTGTACAAAGTTAATTTATATGAATCGGAGATACGTAATCATTCCATTAAATTTGGTGATCTAACGTCATTTGTTAAACAATCCATATCAATATACGTATCTGCAATAGCTTGATATTTTATCCTATTTATTAGAAATAAATATATTTTAGACATAAATAAGATTTAAATTGTTAGGTAAGCTTCGCTTGCACAAAATACTGAAATTAGAATGCTGTTCTAAATTAATTTGGAATGCAATGTCCTCAATAATCATCAATTGAAGTAACGGATTCCCGTCATTTAAGGTAGCAAGCAGTATTTTTCATAATAAAATGGCATAATCTTTGAACGTTTTCGTCTTAAGATGAAGAAATGTTTATTATATACTTGAAAATAATTTATTAAGTTACGGTATTGTCAAGAACAACTACTACGGCATCCCTTGATCACTGTTTCTCTTGAGATGAAAATATTTCATTATATGACGGTAGTCCAACTCCGTCCTCGTTCTTATTTACATTATCAGAGGGTGCATTCAATGCATGTGCCTGTTGCGTAATATTTGGTAGAACGGGTTTTTGTAAAGGTTCCCTTGATATATCCGATGATTGTGGATCGTGCCTTTCGATGGCATAATTTGTTCCGTAATGCTCCTCTTCAGAAGGTAATTCCGGTGCGGTAGCGTCAACGGTAGAATGAGTAATTCGGGGTAGTGTATTTCTGCTACGTGGAACATCGGGTCTAGTAGCATTTCCTTCATATCGATGATGATGATGAATAATATTAGTTTCACGGGTTATGGAAACTACGGCTTGTACTCTGCCATTATCTCTTCGATACGGTTGAATCGAAGTTTCTCAGCATCACTAACTGTATTATCGTTGTCGAAACCTTGTTGGGTTCCGTACTCGATTATCTGATTAAGATGAGGATTTTGCGTTAAAAGTTGTATATCTTCATCAGCAGTAGCTGGTGCAATCGCCCTCTGAGTGTTGTTTTTCTATAAAATAATTTTGACGATAAATTAATTATACATCTCCATACAGTATTTTAAAATGTAGATTACATGTTGCAGTCAATTTAGACTAAGATGCAAGACATTTGTCTTGGTACTAAAGCTTTACTGTAAATATTAGTTTTATTGATAATCCGTCTAAGTATTGGCTAGAAAGAAGATATTGTCTCAAAAGTAGTAGTTACCTGGGGATTCAATTTTGTATAAATTTTCGCTAATCCATATAGTCCAGCAAAATTTAACGCTACATTAATAGCAAATGAAGCGGATTGCGATATAAATAGTATTACGGAGAGTTGAGTATTTGAATTAGCCATAAGGAAAATGGTTAATAGGGCTGAGACACCAGCCATAGAAGCTGTTAAAGCCGGTAGAAAATAGGATATCCATGACTGTAAAAATTGTTGAAAATCAATATTAAGGCTCAATTCTGATATTCGATTGTTATCAGTTTAATTAATTTGTGTGTTTCTTGGATATATGATTTTAACGATGACCTACCATGTCATGTAGACTTTGTTGATCACGATGATTCTTAAGCTTCCAGATAAAATGGATGTTGAAAAAAATTGTCTAGAGAAATTAATTTGATAAAGCAATACACATATTTATAGGATATTGATGGATAGGAAATTATAAAGTTGGTTGATAATAGTTATAGTTTCGTTCCAAGATTTTAGTAAACAAAAATCAATTTTATCTTATTCTTTCATCTGTCGAATCAAGTTGAATGGCGACGCCGGGGTAAATTGATACTATCAGTATTAAATTACGTCACCTCCATTTAATATTAATGTTTGGTTATACAGTGCTAGCTTTCACATTAACAAATTGATTCTTAGAATTATTCATCATAATGAGATTAAATCTTTTCTTAACGACTTTTACTTACCAAGCCGCCCGTAGTAATAAATATGACTAGATAACGAACGTCATAATTGATTTGGTAATATGTTGGTAGAGCAAGGCCAATGTGAATAAAGCCAACAATTAATTCGAAAGTCCAGCACAAAAAAATTCTGCGTACAACTGGCCTTACAGCTGTTAAAGCTTGCTGTCTCGTTGTAGGGGCCATTGAGATCGCCATCGGTAGACTGCAACTTGAAGTATTTTTATAACAGCATGCAATTACTGCTTTGGAAGATCACTTTATGTGACGAAATATGAGATACATGAAGACGACATTACACTTTCCTAGTAGGGGGAAAATTGAGAATACGCGTATTTCTGTAGGCAATTATTTCATCAGCGCTACGTTAATATCATTCACTACGATTTGTCTTTCTTAAACATAATGATTAATTGACAACTTTATTTAGTCAATCATATAGAACTTACAAGCCACACGATGATAAAATTAATACTATTTCTAAATACTGTATTTTTGATTCAACGATGAGTAATACTACAGTAATAGCCGAGAGGCAACATCTGGGACAAATAAAAGATGCAGTTTCGCTTCCTTATTGTATTTACTCTCGCTCATACGGATTTCATTACTTTAATAAGATACACTATCACAATACTATACATTACAAAGCCATGACTATTGGCTAATAACACTGGTACAATTCTTTCCATGATCATAAGAATAAGTTTCTATAGTAACAAGTTAAATAGACTTGGTTTGTTCCGCAGACGGGTGTAGTATCGGCTTAGCTAAACTTCGGTGTGGTAGAGTATTAGATGGTTAGTAATGGTGATAATTATAATGTAGCTTAATTATAATTGTACAAATTACTTTTTGATAATTTGGGCTAGATGTAAGATCCTTTGTAGGCAATCCTTTGCATGACTTTGGCAGTTGTTGAAGTGTTTTAACTCTAGTCATTGATAGAGTTGTAGGTAAATCATGAATTTCTCATTCTTCATGTATTTATCAACTATCAGTACTACAACAGAGCTTGGAGTACTGTAGAGTGAGTGTGGAAATTGTATGACAAGTGCTAGCTATGCCGATCATTGCAAGACCTGATGTTGCTATTAAATTCGTATTGTCCTATGTGTACTGTGTAGTGAAAGTTTCGATAGCTACTCCACTCAATAACATGCTTTGCGGATAGCATCTCGTATATAAGTATATATACGAATATAGGTCACTGTTATTCAGGGATTTGGGCAGGAATGGAATAATAACCGAAGAAAGTAGAGTTGGACGATCTAAATTGCCAGCAATTTTGTCTATTTTGAACGGCAGTGTATTGGTAAGGTAACTATATCGTCATCCAATACACTGGTATCGCAATCATACAGAAGGCTAATTACTCTTGTTCACGATAGTGACTGTGCCAGTCCTACTTTTTTCATCTCGTATAAAACAGGACCTCCACTCGCTTTCACAATATTTGATCTACTTGTTTGCTATGGCTGCTATTCCTTTGCATGCTATGAGAAATTTGGTCTCATCAATAACTGGGACGGTACTATCGGTTGATCATCAGCGAGACTCCATCTCGATCATAATGACAATATGGGCATTCTTATTGTGGTCGCTTTTCAATGGCGCACTAGCATACGAAGATATCTCTCCACGACACAATGGTCTGTCGATACGTGTATGATTGCCAACGCAATTTTTCAGCAGACTAGAAAAAGAAATAATTATAATCAATATTTTACTTTGATCAATGATAAACAAATAGACTGGGTGAAAGAATGCCTAGCCATTAGCAAGTGATGATTGTAACCAGGGATTAGAAGGAAAGAAAGAAATACTTATGTGAACTTGACTGTTTTTATACATGCGTATCTCTAAAAAAAGATAAACAATTCTATAGACAGCAATATCCAATCGCCATTTCCCCTTTATTTTCATTCTATACGCGTATATACCAGTATATGTAGATATATTATTACACTGCATCATTCCTTTTTGTAGATGATTATTTTTGCTTTTATTTTGGGTCTGTCTCTTATTCTTGTTGTTTCTCCTCACCTGTACAATGTACTGTACAGCACTCACAGAGATTACTCAATTAAAATTTCTCCTCTGCCCTCCACTAAATATTGTCTTAATATCTTAATTAAGGCATTTTTGCCCCCTTGCTCTTATAATAATCCAAAAATTGAATTTTTGGATTCCAAGACGGCAACATTTTCACTTTGATGAGTTGATCCCAGTAGACTCTGGTCAACCAAGGTAGTTGACCAGTTCCACCAGTCCATTTATTTTGTACACATTTACAGTCAGTTAATTTGAATTTCAGCCATTCCACTCTACTCTACGCCTATAGAAATGAAAGTAAAAGCTTGAAGACGATGCTCGTATTTTAGGAGTCTATCGTATCGTGAACGCATTTGCAGACATCAAGTCCAGTTGAATTTAGCCAGTAAAATAGTCTACCCTAACGACCATTTTCGGTCGCTGTCTTCAGCCCAATTTGTACTGTGCCATTCTCAAAAGAAAAAACTTTGGACATGGATGAGATCATAACGAACCCTGTCGCTGGGACTAGTTTGGACCCAGTGAAGTATAGTACACCTGTACAGTGTACAGTCTACAGTCTAAGGTCTTTATTGTGCAGTATTGTACTGTACAGTACTGTACATTGTACTGTACAATAGCTAATTTATTTTCATTTCCAGACTCATCACATTTTGTATTTCTTTTCCATCCATTCTTACAGTTTGTAATTACCCAACCAGTACTGTGCCGTACATCAGGTCCTGTTGAATTTAGCCAGCAAAATGGTCTACTGTACTTAGCCTAGAGACCATTTCAGTTCGCTCTCTTCAGCCCGACTGGTACAGTACTGTGGCATTCCCAAAAGCAAAAAGTTGGACAAGGATGACGTCATAACCAACACTGTTAACGACCATTTCCGGTCGCTCTTTTCAGCCCGACTTGGACATTTTCGGTCGCTGTCTTCAGCCCAATTTGTACTGTGCCATTCTCAAAAGAAAAAACTTTGGACATGGATGAGATCATAACGAACCCTGTCGCTGGGACTAGTTGGGACCCAGTGAGTAGAGTACACCTGTACAGTGTACAGTCTACAGTCTAAGGTCTTTATTGTGCAGTATTGTACTGTACAGTACTGTACATTGTACTGTACAATAGCTAATTTATTTTCATTTCCAGACTCATCACATTTTGTATTTCTTTTCCATCCACTCTTTTACAGTTTGTAATTACCCAACCAGTACTGTGCCGTACATCAGGTCCTGTTGAATTTAGCCAGCAAAATGGTCTACCTTAAAGACCATTTCCGTTCGCTCTCTTCAGCCCGACTGGTACAGTACTGTGGCATTCCCAAAAGCAAAAAGTTGGACAAGGATGACGTCATAACCAACACTGTCATTGGGACCAGTCGGGTCGCAGTCAGTACACCTGTCTACTGGTGGATGTTTATCATTATGCGTCTATTGTACCGTACACATCAGGTCCAATGCAATTTAGCCAGCAAAATAATCTACCCTAACGACCATTTCCGGTCGCTCTTTTCAGCCCGACTTGGACATATAGTGTACTGTGCCACTGCGAAAGAAAAAAGTTGGAGATGGATGACATCATTACGAACAATGCTGTTGGACTAGTTGGGTCCCAGTCAGTACATCTGTCCAGTGTCCACTACTGTAGTGGATGTTAACCATGATGGGTCTATTGTACAGTGTTGTATTACCAGTGCAGTCATGTACTGTGCAGTAGCTAATTTATTTTCATTTCCATCAGCACTTTCAGTCTGTAAATTACCCAACCAGTACCGTGCCGAGCCGTGCCGTACCGGACCGTACTGTCCAATGTACGGTAACAGTCCGGTACGGCCATGGATAACTACAGTACAGTATGCTGTTTAATTTAGCAGTCCGTAGTACTGTATAGCGGCTCCGTTCCTACTCTACGAGTGCAGTACTGTACGTTCCTAACTCTTTTGATAGTACTACTGTACAGTGTACAGTTAACAGCGAGTTGGTACCGGTACTGCACAAGCTCTCTTCTATTTGCATTGCAGTATTTATTTACAGTATTTATTTTATTTTATTGATTGCTTTACTTTCGAGCTTGTTGCTATAAAGGTTTCGGCAACTCCTTGCCATCATTGATCGAGAAGAAAGTGAATGGTCCATGTACAAGATCGCGACTGAATTCGCCTCTCATTTCGTGAATCGGTAGTCATTGATAGGTGAGGAAGATTGCTGCTTACAAGGGCAGTATGTAGAATGTTGATGGAATAAAAATCAACCATTTTGAATTAATCATCGATTGTTGTCAAAGTGCAAGCGAACAATCCACTGGACGATTGCAATCATTCCACCTTGTAGTTGGTGTTTGTCGATAGACTTTTTGCCATTTCAAATCAATTCCTTCTAGGATCAATTGATATTACTCTGTTGGTGTCGACACCACCAGGGAATTGGATTGGATTACAACCCAAATAACAAATTAGTGAGTCAAGACTCCAGTCCTTGTAACACCCTTTCCTTCATCAACGTCAGCGATGGCCATTGAACGACAACGAGAAAATTCACGACCGTCTAATTCGCCTGCTAACGACGCCAGAAAGAGGTCATTGCTTATCAATCAACGACGCTACTTTATCGCCGCAGTAGCTCTACTTTCCATTTCCTCAGTACTTGGTTTGGTCACCATGGCCGTCAACATCGTGAGTTCAGTCTTGCAAAAATACCAATTGGCCTACCGAATTTTATATTATTCTATCAGTGGACAAGTAAGTACCAAATGGATTGATTAATGATTCATTTTTGACTCCTTAGCTTGCTCTTTCTTATCGCTTGTGCAAATGCATCATGTCGATCATGATCGAGTGGATGTAATAAAATTCACAGTAATCTAAACGTTGTTAGATAATAATAGGCTATTGTATTACTTTGGTTGAGAGATCAGTGTCAAAACTAGAGATTGAGGAACTCGACTATAATAAGTAAAAACTTGGCTTATAGATTATCCATACAACGATCTTATGCATTAATGATTGGCACTACACATTGCGTATTACACATTAGTGATTACCTTGTTAGATAAGGTTGTTGACTTTAACACAATCAAGATTAGGTCTCTGTACTGTACTGACGTTAGTAACTATTCTTATAAATGAATGTTACTGTGGAATACTGTACATTAAAAAGGGATCATCTTGTACTCTACTCGATCAAATTACGGACTCTAACTTTCGATTAGTTGTTGTCGATATCATTCCGATTGGATTAATAAGTCATTAGTTCAAATTTGCTGTTCGACACAACTAGCACTACAATACTGTGTCGACTTCAAAGTGTAGCCAATAATATCTTCAATAAGTCCCCTCCGCCCGCCTCTCTATATCAAGAGTCGTCTTCATAAGTGTAGTATAGTAATGTCCTCTCGTTTCTCCACTTCAAAAGTACTTTAGAAATGGACTTGCATTAGCCAGTCATAGATACTAAAGTTGATTCCTGAAAATAAAAGAATCCATGATCGATACTGGTACTATGGTGATACAGTACCGCTCAAACTGTTTGCAATCTTTCTAATTTTCGTTCGTTAACGATAACAGTCGATACTGCGGACTTGATAGAGAGCGCCGTCTGTAAAAATCCATTTTCATAATACCAGAGTATGGAAGTATATCGTGTGGAATACGGCCAAACTATCTTTTTTATTCTATTTCAATGTCTATACAATTTACTCTAGCAAGGGACGAGGGGGGAAAAGGTAGCACTGCCTTGAATAAAGCCAATTAAGCTTTAATTTTACCGCCTTACCCATTGAATATGGATTTTCCCCTATTCCACCAATTAATTCGATATGGCAATAACATCGAGAAATAAGTCATTACTTTTAATTTTTCGTTCAATTTCAACGTCGATACAATTTACACTAGCTATCTTAAGGCAGTACTGCCTCGAACAATGTCTGTTTGCCCCTACCGCCTTACTCATTGAATAAGAATTTTCCCCTATTCCACCAATTAATTGAAAATGAGAAATCACACAGAGAAGCGAGTCATTGCCAATAGTTTATTGTTTATTGCTGATACAGTATACGCGTAAGTATGGTGTTGGCAGTGCTTTTCTACATTCATGTTCTTTGTCATTTCGTGAAAAAAAAATAACCAAGGCTAGAATAATGCACTTTTGCAGGTGTAATGGTATAATCGAATGTTTTATTAGGAAAATCCATCGATTCATTACAAATTCTTTACGTACTTTGAATGAATTTGAGGTTCAATGTTCTATTTTCTTCCTATTCGATAGTAAAAAAAGGTGAACGAATGAGTGTAAATCTGTGTACTACATTGCATCATTAGCTATCCATTTCATTGCGTGGATTCGGTAATGAATATAATGGAACATCTCTAGATAGTCCAACTTTAAGCTTATCCGAAACTAGCAGATTGATAGAATATAGACTTGTGTGCATTTCTTCGTGTACGCTTAGAATAGAAACACGCAAGCTACAATCTTTCAACTAGACCTAGTGCCATGTATGTTCCACCGATCACTTGCAGTTATTCTTCACAGCAATTAGCCCGCAATCAATTAATCTTGACCACGTAAGCATTACTCAATAACAAGATATCGCTGACCCTAAGGCATTTTTTTTCACTATGACAGTCATCCATTGCAGATGGGATAGACGGTAGATTCTCATCTTTGAATACCATCTTTTACTGTCTAAGAATCTTCTGTCACACTTTTATTCCCATTCAAGTATTTTCCTGATGACAGCAAGTCATTCTATTGGAAATGACATACGCGTATTCGGGATAGTACTACTGTATTCTATTGATGAAGGTATAGTTCACAGTATTGATTCAATCTATACTTGTACTCTTGATTCCTTCTACTGTACTTTTATGACTATAATTATTCGAGGTATAATTCTAGAATTTCTAGTCTTAACCCTATAGTAAAAATGATATGAAAGAGTCGATACAGAATATCATTCTGTAGAATACGAGGTGTACAGTGGAGCGTCATATTTCTTTTGCGTACACGAGTAAACTGGTAGTACAGAACTTTAATCCTAAGAATGAAGTAGCTTCGGCTACTGCAAAGGAAAGTACTGTCTTGCACTTCATATCAAATCCAGTATTTAGCCCCAAGATTAGTTAATCCGATGTCTTCCTACACATCTACGTGGTAAAATTGAAAATTGGGACATTATTTTTATTCAGTAGTACAGATAATTACAAGAGGTTCAGTATTTCAGTATATTAAACTCAAGTGTAGCGCCATAACTTTTCTTTCAATACTCGTCATTTCAGTCTTTGCCCGTGCCTGTGCCATATAAATAAATTATACACCTTACCGTCTAGCTGAGACACCACAATTTACGCTACAATAAGTTATACCAATAGAGCATCAACGGACTAAAAGACAATCGTATGAATTAGTTAAAAGCTAGATTCCATGTTAAGATGGTAAAAAAAATAAAATGTGCCAGCGTTCATTTCTTCAAGTAATTATCGAACGTACGCCAATAACTGATATTAACCTGTGTTCCATTCGGCAAATAGACTAATATTATTTTAAAATTGTAGGTTATTTTTGATGGAGTTGCTGCGGTGGTACTGCTTTATATTTATAAAAGAGCCTCATCAGATGGCAGAAAATTTGTAAGTCTGGCTTATAAATAGCCTTTCTCCGAAAGCGTAATTTAATAAAAAAGAATCTGTCATTTGCAAATAAAATTCTATATAGACTAGGATAGTGTTTGGTATTCATTTAGTTAATGATAATTTCATGACATGTCATGATTGAAAAATGTCATCTAAGCTTCCGTTGCTTCCTACTTGCACACGATTTAAAATATTTCACTTCTTCTTACAGTAGACTGGATTACACTAACTTTCAGCAGAGTTAAACAATAAAAAAGAGATATGTGATACTAATGCATAATATGCAATGCAATGTAGAAATTTAGCCTATCAAACTACCTTGATCTTTCGTAAACAAAGTCAATCGATAAAATTCTTGATGAACGCGCTTGTATAGTCCTAGTAAGCGAATTGAATTAACTATCAGTAGAATTATAGTACATTGCGGTATCATTTTAAAACGCTTTGCAATCGTTTCGTGTTTTTATACTGTGGCTTCTATACTAGTCAATATCTAAGTCCAATCGGGTTATTCTTTTCTTGCAGAATTGTTTTACCATTTTATTACCTATGCTATCGTCTACAATGGCTGCCGTTGGATGTTTGATATCGACGTATTATGCCGTGACTACGCATAGTAAAATAATAACCGACATATTTATTATAAATGCCGGTCTAGCTGTAGTCTACTGTATTTCAGCTATTCTCAGTTTGTTAGGTATTCTCATGTCTGGACAATTATGGAGTGTAACATCGGTAAGAAATCATAGCTACATAAAGCTTCATACGATTATTGCCATAATTGTATATGTAAACTTATGTACCCACTAAATGCTACTCCACAATCGAAATCAAATTAACAATTTGTATACTATTATCCATTCAATTACAATTTTGCTAGAGAATTGATACCATAACGCATGCCATTGCCCGCCCTACTGACGAAACATCCGAAATTACTAATCCTCCTCCATCGAATCCATCTCCACCAACTCAAAATACTGCTAGGGCCACTTCTCCAGTCGCAGCCCATGGAACTATTGATTTTAGACTGAATGCACAAACCAGTCCGATGCCTCCCTATAGTGCACAACCTTCTGCCCCTGCTGGTCCCGGTGATCTCCCAGCCTATAATGATATATACTGAGATATAATGGTTACCTACTTCTTTTACTGTATTATTCTAATATCGGACGTCGGTCTCCTGTATTTCTACAGAACTGGTTTTTATCTGAAGCTGCTACCGCTACGATATTAATATATACAACGCCTGAAATTTCGATTTATCGATCAATCAATTATAATGAAATACAGTATATATATATAATGATAGCCACATGTATCGTTTCTACCTCATTGCTTGAATTATATATATACCAATATCAGACGTAAAAGACGTTGGATAATGTTCATTTTTATAGTAAAATTTCTCTTGTTCAGTTTATAATGATTTGACATTTCTTTCTTCCTTTGATGAGACTCTGGCTACTGTAATTACAATTTTTGATTGATACCTGGAACTGTTGCACTACTGCAGTGATGTGTGCTAGTGCATTCTCTGCAACTATTGATTCTTACAATAAAATACTATGCTGATTCGAAGATCCACAATGATTTGATCTTATGAAATAATATTTTCAGTCTTAGCCGACGTGTAGTATTTTTAATCTCTAAAGTCTAATATCAAGATGTACGCTATGGTAGTTTTCAGTGGATGTTGTTACTACCATAGCACCTACCTATCACTATTTAGGCCAATATAATCACCCAAATTTGTAATAGTACACGGGTACGTTTGCCAAAAATGATCTTCTAATTTAGGCTCCTACTTCCGCGAATAATAATATCACTTTGCATTAAAAAGACACATACGTAACAAAGGCACGCATGCAGCTTTATGTTCATCTTCTATACAGATGTTTATTTTAAAGATATGAAAGGTAGCTTTAAACATCCATAAATAGCTAACAGGTACTAATTCCAACCCAATTGATTGGTTTTAACGTTATCAACTTATTAAATCTAGCAGAGCTTTACAGTTAAATCAAAGAAGTTAATTATGGAATAGTAAATGAAATAAAATCGACATCAAGTGCGTCATCAGTGTATAGTAAGCATAGTTTGAATAAATATTTATAACTACAATGTTGCTTGATAAATTAAATAGCAATTGCAATTCTCAATAGATATTTTTACAATTTGTATTGAATTTATGGCAACATAGAACTTTTTAAAAGTATTTAGCTACATGAGTTAACTTTGTAGATTGACTAAAATCAGATGAAAACTATAAAAATTTAGCCCTATGAACGATTTTAAAATAATAATGTAATTAAAACTTCAACATGTATACCCTGTATTTAATATCATAACGAATTCACAATAGCAAAATTAGGATGTAGGAAACGCTTGACCAACATAGTTTTCTACTGCATGTATGCTTTTCCCAATCACTGCACGGAGTATTTTAAAATGATAATTTTTCGAGGTCACAGCTTAGCTGAGGAGACAGCTGTTCATTTGACTAGTAACACTTGATTATCTTCAACACTGCATTTTCAATCATTTAGAATTATTCCGAACCCAAAGTTTCAGGAATCTTACTGCGTATTTCACCCGCTGCTTCAGGGTAGATCCTTCGCGATAAGCCATAAGTAACGGTGGGATTGAGCTTGGATTTAACCTAAGATAGTAATCAATCATTACATCATTAATTAACATTTAAATATCTCAAATATTTGGTACAATATGGCTTAAGTACGCACTGGTTTTACCTTAGGAAAAAATATGAAACAGACAATGGATGTTGTGCAAAATATAATAAAAGTACCAGTAACAACAAAAGCAGTCTGCGGTGTAACTGGAACAAGGATATTGATTAAAAATCCGATCGTGCAAATTATAACTACATTATAAATAGATAAGCCAACGTGATAGGAATCGTTTAAAGCTGGAATGTTGACGCTCCGTGTTTCCCACGACAAGAAAGCACCAAATATTAAGACTACAAATTTGTAAGCCAAAGTGATTCCAATCCAGATGGTGATATTGCTGCAGGTACAAATCAGGTAGCTTTCTCGAATTAGAATATTCGACTGCGTACGCATAGTCTATTAGAAAGAAATGAGTACGAGTGAATAATCGTAGATCCCCAAGTTATACAAGTGCAAGAATGGATTTTTGTATCAGAAATCGAAATTGAAGTATAATGATACTTCTATGATAATTAGATTGGTCTGTTCTTAAATTAGAAATGTTCGACCAACTACTTACGGGAAAATAATTCTAATGAAGACGATTAGATAACTACCGATCGTAACGATATTTGTACAGAATATCATTTTACGTGTACTGTACATACGAAATCAAGATTAGAACATAATGTTATTCTGTTCTAATTTGGCTAATCTGTTTTGAAATACCTTGGGTCCATGAAAAGTAAACCTTGGATACTCATTTTATTACGAGAATGCAAAAGATACTTTTATGTCGTGAGTAAAGTTACTATCTACCATGCTAGATTTTACATTGAACGATGACCTTAATTTATGGCTTCCAAACTTACCGTAAGGTTAACGACCTGCCAAGTTGGAACTAGCGGATCAATAATTTGCCATAATGTTAGCAAAACTAGGTCGATTAGAGCTAGAATAACCGTAATGGAAAACAATTGCCTATCTCTGATAATCTGTAAATGAGTAAAAATAAAAAGTATAAGTAATAGACATTGCTACAGCCGTTGCATTGAAATAGGGTAACTTTAAGGCTTTTGATCGTGGATGCGATATTGTAGCCATTTACTACTAGTATATCATTACTATATTGAACGAAAATCTATCATTGACCGTATCATATTCGAGCAGATGATAACACCAGACAAATTGGAGAAATAACTATTGATAATTATTGTCAAGGCTGATCTTTTCCTTTACAGTAGTAATGACTTAGATAGCTTAATCAATAAATAAAAGATTTTATACGGGGCAATATTCAGCTGTAGTGATTTCAGCTATTTACAGCAGTAACGTGGCAAGACTAGGAAAGTAAAATAGTCTCCTATGCTGAATAAAGTAATTGTATGATGGCTGATCTGATGAAAAGGTGGACTTCTACTATTAATGAAGGATTTATAAAACTATGGATTACATCAGCTAATGGAAGATAGTTATTCAAGTTATCGCCAATTGTAGAAAGGAAGAAACTCTTACCACAGACTTTGCAGTTTTATTCGTAAAAATCTTATACACTCGCCACATTTTGGAGAATAACGAGCCAAAAGCAAGAGTAAAACCAATTATCAATGTCCATATGCGAGCAGTGCAAATTACTTGTAACGCTGGTAAAGATTGATAATTAATGGCTTCGCTGCCATGGATGACAACCGAGACATAGCATAATATGCAGCCAAGCAGGAACAGGTTATTAATCTTAGGGCTTGACATTTTAATGACTCTAAAAGCAGCGGATAAATTGCCAAATGTTAATACTACCAGATTCTATATTACATGATCAACATAAAAATTCTATCGTCTCGGAATCAATATGTATCTCTGTAAAGACCGAAATCTAAATTTTCCATGTCTTATTTAATGAATATTACTCTATATCCTAATACTGAACACCAGAAAGTGGTAGACAACGGCAATATTTCAAATTATACCTTTCAAGTCGGAAAGCAATATTGAATAATAGAAATGTTACAGTAACTGCAATTCCAATAACGGATAATATTAGGAAAATCAAAAAAGTTTGATAGGAAATGGGAACTTTTTCAGTTTTAATTTCTACATGGTCACTAGGTATTTTTCCTCCTAAGAATATTAAATAAGATGACACGTTTAGATAAATAGGGTATTTATCAAAAGTAATGGTAGTATTATTAGAAATTCTTAATTACATATATTTACTAAGTCAATAAATTGTGTTTTTAATCTCCCATACGATACATGCGATATTAGTAAAATAGAATACTGAAAAATTAAAATAGAACAAGATATTTTTCCTCTCTCTGCCTATTTACCTGGCCAGATTATTTTCTCTTTCATGAGAACGATGTTACTATTCGCCCCTAGGTAGTTACCAATAGTAACTTCTTTAAAGCTGCCTGAGATATCTAATAGAAAGTGTATATAGACCATGAAATAATGAGCAATAATTTGTTATCCATACACTTTATAGACGAGAAGTAACGTTAAAATTATCGCGAAATAAATTTCTAGCATTATTTCACTAGAAGGGTTTAATCGGTCGAAATGGAAAACAAAATTGCGAGAAACTTGTTGGTATGCTACTGAATGTTTTCATATTTGACCTACTTTGATATTGGATAATATCGACATTCCCAATTCTCGATCGTGAATAGAATCGAAATGGCCCCTAATGGATTACAATGGCGATGTCAAAATTAGCACATGGAAAGATTTACCATGTAACATATAGCTAGTAGGTAATTCGTCAGTAAAAATATATTAATAAACTAAAATGTCATAAATTAAGCTTAAATAAATTTATTTAACCATATCCAAGAATTCTAAAATTATCCTATTCAGAGTCGTCATCATGAACTTAGCAGATAATTCAATAGTAAAAATATAGTAATAAACTGAAATGCCATAAATTAAGCATAACTAAACTTAATTGATCATATCTAAGAATTTTAAAATTGTCCTATTCAGAGGCATTATCATGAACTTACACTAGCACCAAGAAATTGTGTTTCCTTCAATGCCTTAAATAAAATATTGAATATGAAGGTATTATTATAATGAAAGTCGCTTAAGCTCATATTATATGATCGTAGCCGCTCTTCTGTCTTATTTAGTGCCAGGGCAAGTGCATAAACAGAGTCATAGACAGCCCTGTTATAGCCATCGACAGGATCATATTGTGCAGTAAATTTTCTATAATCTTCAAGATGTTGTTTATATGTCTACATTGAATGAGATCAATCATTAAATATTCGCAATATACACTGGATAATTGCTTAGCTTGTGAATATTAAACTAAGCTATGGTAGAATCGATGCAATATTATATTGATCTTAAGTTTGCGATCAGTTGGGTGCTGTATGCGCATTTCAATATAAATATAACTCTTATGCTAGGACATTTAAGACTATATTACACAAGATTTATATGAAGCAAAGTGCTGCTGAATAACAACAAAAACGATAGATTATATAATTATTCACTGATTTGTAATTGGCGTAGATTGAAACAGAAGTTGCATGCACCATTTCTAACTGATAGGAAATATACCGGTAGATAGTTAGTATTTAACTTACACGTCCCGAAACTATGGTAGGATTAGAACGATATCCAAAGAAAGGTGCAAATGTGAAATAATTTCTAGCTACTGTCCATAGCTGATCACTCGTACAATTCGTCAGGCTAGCAGAAATATCAATCCAGCTAGGGAAGTAAATATTAAGCAGGAGGTACGCATAATTTTCTCCATACATTCCCAATTTATAAGCCTAGAAGGAATAATCATAGTAACTGGTTAACATCCGGTTAAATCAAGAAATTATCATCGGCTTAGATTAATTGTGTTAAACGTATTAAAAGTTCTTAAGTTATTTGACAGTCATCGTGATAATTGTGTATATTGTAATTAAACGGCTATTATACTGCTAATAGCTGATTTCGTTTTATATTTCTCAGCATTAACTATGATAATCCACTTTTTTTGTATTAAACTCCTGTGTATATGATATATTAAATGAAAACCGCGTGTAGCCCTACCTTACATAGGATGTTAGCAGCATTGCGTACATCAGAAAATATGAATACAATTCTTGCGTCTTTATTCTAGTTCAATGAAATTAATAAAGTAGAACTCGTATTAGTATCAATCTATATAAGTAGGACAATCTTAACATTAATATTACATTTCATTACTAAAAATCATATGCATAAGTAGGGTAAAATTTTTTAATGTTTGCTTACTAACAAGTATAATTGGATCGCATATAAGTTTATCGAAGTAAATTCTCTTAAGTGAAACAGAAGTGTTTTCAATAAAATTGTTTACTTAGTTATATGCTCTCAAGAAATGAAACGTTTGATAGAATTAATATCGGAATAACTTTTTAGATAGCTGATATGAGATGTGCTCATTACACACATATAATCCTATAAAACAGCGACTGATTATGCCTTTGCCATATGGCTTTATAGTCTCTTCGCTAGCGATAATTTAAAAGCGTAAAACTAGACTTATGACTTGAAAAATAAGTTATCGGATATCTACATTCTGTAGAGCATTTCTTTAGCGATTGATTATAAATCGTAGATAGAGAAGAGGTCTTCTCTATCTAATCGTTTACTAAATTAAATGTCGCCATAACTATCTTTCAAAATAGAAGTTTCTAGCAATACAGTAGAATAGCGTAGTTATGGGAATAACAAGTTAAAGTTAAGTATTTGTATCATTATAGTTACCTGCAGTGATTCAACAGAACGCTCTGGATTTGTGGCAAATGATTCTTCAGCTACGACTGTAAAATTTTTATCATGTAGTCCTTTAACGAAATCTTGGCCTCCCTGTAGAAGATGAGTATAATAGGTCGAATTGGGTTATTTGAATTCATTAACACTTAGGCTACTATTAATTTAGCAATCTTTTAGCAAAACTTGCATTATTAAAAGTAATAAGGCGGTCTTACCGAAAGATATAAACTGCTAGTTGTTTGCATAATAACAGCAATTCTTTGCCATTGATATCTTTGAATGAATTCTAATCGTACAATGTTGAGGGAAACATCGTTGATGTTGGAAGAGAAAAAGTAAGGAAAATTACTTCCTGTAACTAAATTAGCTGCTGTTGCTCCACCAGATATCTAAATTAAAATAAAACTCACTTTAATGAGCAAAGTTAAGTACTGATGTTGCTATCATTTCATGGTCGTAGAATAAATGAAAAAATATATGCTGGATAAAAATCCATTAAAGCAATAGCTCAATCGCAAAAAATATGATTTTCTGTCCTAAGAAACTGTTTTATACAGCTAAGATGCAGACTTTCTCATTTTTAATCTGCTCGAAAGATTTTCATTGAAATTAATTTTATTTTAATGGGTAAAGTTGAATACTCATATTGCTATCATTTTTTAGAATTGATGAAAATAGACGCTGATGTAAGGATCCATTAAAGCAATAGTTTAATGACAATAATATAATTTTCCGTCCCCCAAAACTATTTTATGTAGCTAAGATATAGATTTTTCAATTTGTAAGCTGCTCTATAGATTGTAGTAATTAACTTAGAAACTGCATGATTATTACTTTACTTAGATGCTAATAATCAGCTTATATATCGTCCAGTTTTATCTCATTGCAACCGTCGATTTATAAAACTGAATGTTAAAATGTAGCTCTCAAATTATGCTCAGATATATATATATATATTGATGAATTTTATCACATGATTATTTGAATAGGTCATAAATTTCACATATGCCGGTAATCTAAATGTAGCTTAATCTATATTAAACAGAAGCAGACCTATAATTTGGAAGAACAGTATGGTTGATGTTAGCATTAGTAATATTTACTTATCAAAGGTATTCTTTTAGTTCATTTACCTTATACATGTATATAAGCAATATCTTTATTCCAACAGTACCTTAAAGATCATATAATGATTATGCTCTCGATAGGTATACTATTTCGTATGTTATCTCTAAATTTATTTTGTTAGGAAATAACGTATTTAAATTGAAATTCTTTCCTAAAGAGCATAACATTAACAGGAGATAAATTTCCGGTTAATTAAGGATTGAAATACAAGTTTAGTTGGATTCTTGCTTAAACTTTACGCTTAGATGTTGGTAGGTTATCACTAGTGGTGATGGAGTTTACAAATTGTTGTACCGGATATTAGTCTATTACTCTATTAAATAAGCTGAATTGGATTAATATTTCCCTTAACAAAGATAAGAGAAAGTAAATTTAGTTGCAACCCAACAATGGCCAATCGCACTTATGCTGGAATTCATGTCTTTTTTGAGAGAGAACGCTCACATTATAAATGGTAAATTTAACCATAATTTCATTTAGTAGCGAATTGCCCGCATATTTGGTAATACAAATCTCCAACTAACATTAAAAAGGCCATCGGCATCATTGAAGGTAGTACATGAATTATTAAATACATACATAAATCTATATAAATAATTATTGATCAGCAGAAACTTGCAGCTATTTAAATCGCTTACAAAAATGAACGGCAATATCGGTATATTTTTAGTGTCTATGAGTTTTTCCTAAATTGATGAATATGAAAAATCTAGTTATTGTATGTTGACTAATTTAAATAGAAATAATATGCCTTACTGCTCTGTAGGCTCATTTTTACAAGTATTTGCATCTGCTGTCTCAATTTGGTTGTATAAATATTATTTATTAAGAGAAAATTGGTATCGCAAAAAATTTTATGCTACTTAGCTTTCTATCAATTTCAGCCAATCAGATTCTCTAAATTTAATGGCTTTTTAAATAATAAATGATTCTTTTTATAAAATTACATAATTTTACATATTTTCTCCATCTTCTATTGCTTTATTGCTAATAATTGGCAAATTTTTCCTCTTGCAATACCTCATTTATCAGATTTCTTTTGCAACAGTAAGATATAATTCCATTTTATACTACCTGCTTAATTTTGGGGGAGGAGGTATTTTAAAAAAAATAATTATGTTGCTCTAGTCACCTTAGGAATTTCATAAATTTAATTTTATATGGAAATAGCGTAATATTTTTATAAGAATCATACATTCAAGGGTGTTATGAAATGATTTATTTATTAATTCCGCTGAATATTGAACTCTATTTTCTCTTTAAATCAATGAGTAAGATAAAAGGTCTCATAAATAATACTTAACGTCACAATCCGTTACGTATCATCGAATAAATTTATAATAACTCAAATTCTATTTTACGCTGCTCACACTCGTTTACGAATAACCCTTAGTAGCAGTACTGGTAAGTGGATCAGTAAACTTGAAAAGAAGTAATACTTAAAGTTAGTCATTAGTTAGTCATGTTAACTTCATTTAATGTCATTTGCTCACACTAACGGACGCAAGATATCTAAGTACAAATCCATTGTGGCTTAGCAAATAGCAATCAATGACAAAATTTTGTCAACAATTTAATTATAAATATTTTAATAACAATAACATTTGTGCGGACTCGAAGGAAAAGGAAATACTGTATCAATTCAATCTTGGGCTCTTTCAATATTAATAAAGAAGCGTTGATACACTTTAAAATTCAGTGGAGAAGGTCCTACAGTACCTCAGCAAATTGTAGTTGAGATTCTCTTATTAACGAAACTGTCAAAATTTTCGAAGTAATTCATACCGTGCTAAATCTTAATATTACGTAACGTTTACTATTTATTAATAAAAGCAAATATAGCCATCATTATAGTACTACATTGCCTTAAGGCGAATTTAGGAGCAATCGCAGTTTCATATGTTTCATACTACATAACCTGTAAGTACTTATAGAGAATTTGTAGCACCTTTATTATTGTAATTGCATGCTTACTACTACCAAAACAACGTTAAATATCAGCAATTAATATTCCCTAATTAAAGCACGACTCAATTCTTACTAGCGATTATTAACACGACAAGATGGCTAAATTAATGGTCAGCAATAAGGTACTTATTGCTAATCATGTTACAAAGATAGTCTAACACTCGCATACTGTTAAAATCGTATAAGAAAAGAGAATTTTATACTGCCTTACTTCCTATAGCCGTATGATATAAACAAGCCGGAAATTCAAGCATTTTTACTATTGAAACAGTAAGGCATGTAACAATTACAGCCCACTGATAATTGATGTTACTAGAAATTGCAATTTCTTAATGGAAACTTTTGTTATCATAAATAAGCGCCAATCAATCTCAAGTCAATTTAAATGAAGATAGAAAAGGCATCTTCAACACAAATGGTATAAAGTAAATTAGTTGACGACAAGCTACATGGCTATGACATAGATGCATTTATACATGTATTTTCATTATTAATACGGGGAAAAATTAATCAAGTAGAACCATTAGTCAATATAATTGTTGGTATTAATTCTTATAGTAAAAAAGTAACATTGGCTATCTTTATGTAAAACTTACACTAACACAGTAATCTACATCGTTTGATCAAGATTAATAATTATTTTTTTCTCGTCATTTCTTGATGATTTTAGATCAGTGTGTTGACCTTTTAATTTGGTAGTTATGCATGTTAGAGTTTATTACTCGAGTTTTGCTTTCATTGACATACGAGCTTTAGATGGATAAAAAGTAGCAAGTTGGCTTTAGCTTTTACAGTTTAGACCAGACTGATATTTCTATAGGCGTATTTTAGATGAAATAGAAAGTATACATGATATTAAATTATTCATATGTACTCGTAGTGTAAATCAATACATCCTCGTTCTCATCATCAATACTATGCTCTATAGAAGATATCGAAAAAATTCTAATAAGCAAAAAACATGGAATCCATAATGTATCAATATGAAGTAGAATAGAAATAAACTGAGAGATGTCAATATTGAAAATCCTGGCATATACCTTGCTAATTATAGCAGGAATGGGACGAATAAAGATTAATTATATTATTGAAATCAAGTACAATAACTGAATAAATCCCTACTTTGTTCCCCAATAAAGAATGGAAAGATTTCAACTTATTTTTAGAATATCCATATATGCTTCTTTTTCAATCTTTATCATAGCGATTTGTTGATTAGAAATTAATCGCTTGACAATTCTAATAATTTGAAATATAAATCCATATCGTATCGCAAATAAAACATATAGATGTTATGCTACAATCTCAATTAAATTGGATACATATGCGAATATTTGAGCATAGATTCCGCCCATCAGTCATTCATAATTTTTAATCTTGACCATAGTGATTTGATGATGAAAAATTAATCACTCAGAAGCTCAAATAACTTAAAATATAAATCAATATTGTATCGCTAATAAGGTACGTGGATGTGTTGCTACAATTTCAATTCAATCGGATACATATGTGCATACTTAAATATAAATTCCACCATCAGCTATTCATAAATATAGAAATACCACGAGTAGATGACAAAGAATTGGAGAAATATAACAATACCCAATAAGTTTAAAATTGTCTTCAGATTTTGCTACACTCATCCACTAAGGATACAAACGCGGCTTTGGGTGATAGAACAAAAAGAGTTTAATATACATTTTAAATATTTTATATGGATTACCGATGGTATTGCCATTAAAATATGATATGGCTGATATATTTAGGAATTGAGTATCGCGTAAAAATAAAGGTTGTAAATCTAAAATTGAAATTTAGATTTTATGATCATTTCATCGATGGAAACCAGGTCATGACCGACTTTTACGTAGGATTATATGAAATATGGTCCGTGAACGTCTAAAATTCCGTCATAATTTAACGATAGTTCATTTTAAGGGTCATTAGTTACAGTTTGAAATAATGTCAATAAATTTTGAGTTTAGATTTTGTGATCATTTCATTGATTGAAACCAGACTATGATCAGCTTATACCAAGAATTACATGTGAAATTGTCCGTAAATTTATGAAATTCTATAATAATTTAAGGGTAGTTCATCATAAGGACAATTGATTACAGTTTGAAATGAAGCATACAAATTTATAATTTTAGAATGAATTTTATGAGAGCTTCACTTATGGGTATTAAAATAAGGGTATAAGTGTAAGTGGAAAGAGTTAGGTATGATATGATATCAATAAGGCTATGAATTTAGGAAATCCAGCAGACTACTTTTCTAGTTATTCATCTAGTAAAACTTCGGGTTCTTACGACACCGATAGGTGGCAAAATTCAATATTATCAATAAAACAGAACTAATTAAACAGTTGGATTGAAATTCCTGGACAAAAAAATCAAATAAGATGCGATTATATTCGATTCCTTCAAGAATTAAAAACTGGAATAAAGATAAACTTCAGTTCGTGACAACTGCCGATATTCGAAATAGTGACTATAAGACTTGAATTTCACTAAAATCGAAGTGATATAATTTATTTAATACGACAGAGATAACATGGTAACTTATTTTCGATCAATTATTAAATTTGATCTAATAATAATTTGCTTTCAATTGAAGCGAAGATCGAGAACTGAATTGATCTGATCTCAGGTATAATAGCACTGGTACTACCGCATAACCTTCACTGAAAAATTTTATCCAAATTAGATCAAAAATTCTACTATAACCAATTGCCAAAGTAACACTATCTACGATCATAAATATTATTTACTATTCATTTAAGCGATGGCTGAGAAAGTAGATACGGTAGGATTAATCTTGTATTTAGCTAACAGCTACATTCTCTTTTTAGCAAATGCGAGTATTAGTATATAATACTTTTTCTTAATGTCTTTCAACCTGATTTAATCTGTAATAATAGCTAGTTTATAATCATATTAAAGTTACTAGGGTCTTCATTAAATAAGTATTTCTGTCTGCTTAATGTGTATCAATAATAATTTTACCAAATAAATTCTCACACGGCAGTTTAGGTTAGTTCTTT